ACCGTCATGGGCTGTCTGTGCTTTCTCCGTGGCCCATTAGCACTAATAGAGCGCATAACTCCAACTTGGCCGGGTGGACTTCTGGCGATAATCACCGGTCTTGTGGGGCCTGATTGACATCTCTGCGGCCGATGCAGCGTCATGACGCCAGGTGCGGCACGGAATGCCGTCCGTTTCGTGGTTCGTGAGCGCGATGTGGCGGCGCGAGTGTTCACTCCCGGTGGGTAACCTACTTCGGACGCATCTGGCGCTCGGAGGGCCACGCTCGGGTCAACCTCCCCGTCACGACTGATCCATCTCTGTCTGATACAAGAGCCAGCCGGCGAGCGGCCGAAAAGCTGGCCACAAAAATGGTCCGCGACTAAATCGGAGAAAATGAAGTCAGAGAGAAGATTTGGTCGAGGAGTGGATAGCGCTAGTGACAGAATCAAATCGTAACAAGATAGATATTTAACGGATCCGTCTCAGAGAGCTGACAGCCAGAATGGATGCAGCCGGAGCTATGAAGAAAGAATACCAACGCCTCGCCTAGGTCAGGAGAAAACTTCTATGGGTCACGCAAGGCCAAGCCGACCACTGACCAGGGATCTGTGTTTGGCTGTAGACGCAGACGGGAAACCACCATGTTCAGCGGGGTAAAAGTCAGAGGGTGGGCGGAGCCAGGGATCCCTGCCACCCCGTGCGACCTCGTGCGTCCGTCAGAACCGGGCCCCCGGCGGTGGGGAGAGGGGGAGGGGCGCTCCCAACCCGCGCCACCCCTCTCTGACCAAACGAGGTATAAATTTCCGATTCGTCTCGGAGGGGCCGACGCAGGGAGGCTGGGGTCCAGGTGGGACCGAATTCCTCTCCGCGCCCCGCGGATGTGCGGACGGGATACGAATTTCGGCTCGGTTAAAATGAAAATTAAGCCGTAAATTGGTGGTTGGCGTTTTCACCAGACGTTGGAATTTCCGTCGTCGATCAACGCGAGAGCTATGACCGGGATATCGATCACTCGCGTTCAACCTTTGACCTTTGCTCGTTCCATTCTTCGACACATTCTCTATTACTTTCGTCTTTGCATTCCGATCCCAACTTCGCAACTTTTCAGCCGTCTATTGCGACATGTGATCAGCTCATTTGCCTGATAAAATGTATGATTGTTGGCGCATAGTACCTTTATCTGTTGTTCTCGTATGATGTTTTTTTTTTTTTTTGTCTTCCCTCGTGTACCTAGTTTTCCTTTCCCGATCATTCCGACCCATTTTTCTTTTCCTCTCCTTTTTCTTTGTTTTTCCATGTATCTACCCTTGGATCTACATGCCATGCTAGGTTGAACTGAATGGTAAGTTTGCATGCGTGTCATATTCCGTTCGCTTTTTATTTTTTACTTGACATGCCATTTATGTTGGTCACGTCTTTATGCAGACTGACTTTACCATGTAGAACACATGCACACTTGCCTTCCTGCTCAGTGCTCGGGTCTCATGGCATCACATTCCATCGCGCCCGGTCCCGTGCTCTGCGCTTGAGTCATTCCTGTTCATCATATTCAGCTCCAGCTCATCCTCGTCACTTATCATGCCACTTACTATATCCAGTACGATATAGCCCTGCCTCGTCCTGTCTCTCCCCGTCCCATCCCATCCGGTCGCCCACCCCCTCGTCCCGTCCCTCCTCGACCAGTCTTTCCTGTTCCATCCTGTCTCATCCCATCCCGTCTCGCCGATCCCTTGTCTGGTGGACCCTGTCGAACTGTCCTCTCCCATCCCGTCTTATCTCGCCCTGTCCCATTCCGTTCCGTCCCTTCTTATCTCGTCTCGCCCCGTCTCGTCCGTCTCGTCCGTCTCGTCCCGTCCGTCTCTTGTCGACCGGCCGCTGTCGAGCCATCTTGTCTGGTCCATCCCTTGTCGACCGGTCCCTCGTCGAGCTGCGATGTCGGCCTCTACGACCGCTAATGACTCGCCACTCGGGCTCTGCCCTGCCATCGACGCATCACTCCGCGGCGGCCGGGCGCAGATGGGAGGTAACGGTGCCGCCGCCGCGGCGAGGGAGGGGCCGCGCCGGCTGACATGGGCCGACCTGGCACGCAGCGCGCCGCTCCCGACCACCTCCCCGAGAGGAGGCGCTCCACACGTGCCACGGACGAGCCGGGCAGCGGGCGACGCGCCGACACCGAGCCGCAGTGTGCAACACCTGTAACGGCCGCTCGTGCCGGCCGGCGCTCGTTCCGGCCGGCGCCCCGCCGCGCCGCGCCGGGCCCGCGCCGAGCTCTTATTCGGACCGTGATTGACGTCCGTCAGCGGGTCTCTGAGTGCCGGTGTCATGCTAGCATCTCGGTGCTGAGGAGCGGATGGTAATGCCGGAGAGGAGTGGGTTCGACTTGGGTTCGACCTGCTGTTGCCGGTGCCGACACCCGTTGGGCCGGCCGCGGACCGGGCGCCCTCCCCGCCCCATCCGCCTGCCGGCCGGCCCCTGGGCGTCCCCTGCACCCCGGCCCGGTCCATCCGGCGGTGTCGGCGCTCTCCGAGCGGCCGCCGCTGTTTACAGGCGAGGTCGGACGCCATTTTGGAATGGGGCCGGCCGGCCGGCTGGCCGGCTGGTCGGACCGGCCGGGGCGCGGCGGGCGCAGGGGCGACCCGAGCGCCGCGCGCGCCGGCCACCGACAATGGCGGCGCGCCGGCGGCGTGGTGCCAGAGCGCCCGAGTGGCACCCAGTATTGTGACAGCGGCGCTGATGACGCTTTCAGCGGGGCGCGCCATTCAGCACCGGCGGACGAGCGGCAGCCCATTGTCACGGTACAAATGATACCAAAATAAAGGGTGTAGAAGAAGTTCGACATGAAATCCGATACGGGTGGGAGCTCTGAAGTCGCCTGAAAACGGTCCAAGATTGGAGACAGCGGAGGCGGATGAAGGAACTGGGACATGGAAGACTGAGCGGCGACTATCCATGGTCTATCGATGTCACGGGTGTAGCGACCGCGTGGAGGCGGACGAGACGGATCGACTCGATAGCTCGCGCAAAACGCTCCATATGTATATGACCGAACACGATATGCCGAGCACTAGGCGCGCTGTATGTGATATACGAACGCTGTCGCGTAATCCAGTGGGCGTGTGTTGTCTCACGTGCACGAGATATTGCGTGTTGGGGCTGATACGTTGCTGTACAATGCACCCAGGAAATAGAGGACTTTTCCGGGATGAGCTTTACTGTCTAGTGTCTACCCCCGACCTGAAATGAGTTTAAACTGATGTTCTGTGTCTGGAATATGGAAATATAGGTAAGTAAAAATTGTGATCTAATGTGCAAGTCAAGATGAATGGTACACAATCAGTTCACTCATTATGCAATCTCAAGATGTCTTTCCTACAAAAGTTAATCTTTATATTTCATATTTACTTGCTTGTCCAAATATATAGGTATTTTGACTTGCACTAGTCTAAGAAGGACTGACAAGTTGAATCTCATGACCTTTGAAAAATTGATGGCTTATATATTTTTCCAACCTAATATGGCATCACTTATCTTACCTACTACCGGACCCCATTGCTCAGGAGTATGAGAAACAATGGATGGATGGTTTACTAGCACCTTAGTGCCTTAATCAAGGGCTTCTGGTATGCTATAGTGCCGTTTTAATAAACGACTTGTCAACAATGAGCAAGGAAAACACTGCATAAACACGAGTACCTACATATGCATCGCATTTTCCATCGTGAAAAATGACACTGCTGATAAGTACCGTAACGGTGGTATGGAAATTCGGGGGTGTTGTGCATACCACGAGCTTTTGGCTTCTGAATGTGGCGCGGGGCCACCGCGACACCTCCCGAAATGAAACGCCACATGTCATGTATGATATATATCTGCATATGTGATACATAGGTAAAGGGATGCAAAGGCCACAACTGTGGCCGTCGCGCGCAGGGCCGTTCGCGGGCCCGGCAACACAGCAGGTGCGGTGGCCGCCGCTCCCCATGACTGAATAATGGGACACCAACCTGTCACACGGATATGCATTTAAATTGGGCGGCGCGCTACTACACGGCCGGTGCTCGGCCCGTGTCTGTCATTGTTTATTTGTCTGCTCTTCAAGGATGTTTGCCCTAAAATGTCGGTATTTCCAATGGTTGAGCTGCTAGCCTTCGATTCGGTCTGGGTAATCGCAGCAATATTTTAAGTTCTGAGTGATTAATTTTCATCCAAGGCCGCGCCTCACTATGACGTTTATGCATTTCTTAGATTTATCAATCGACAGGCTGCCGGTCAGTGTCAAAATTGATGAAATTAAAGAATTGAAAATTTACATATTCAAAGGGCTAAGACATGAAAGCCTCAATCAACTTGGCATGCATAAGTCCGCTTAGCATACACCAATATTCAAATATTTATGCTTGGACACTGTTTATTTATGCTTGAATGATCCAGTACCTATGCATTGATGTATCTTTGTGATCGGTAAAACTTGCGTGATCTTGTCGAGATTTAGCCTAAATATTTTGAATTGTGACATTCAAGAGACAGCTCACCTCACATTGAGCTTGTTTCAAATACCTTGATTCTTCTCATCCGTTCTGACAGCTATTAATGGGTAGGCAAGACAGTTAAGAAGCCCAATTTAGGCATAACTACTACCCAGCAAGCATTTTTTTGCGCACACGTATTTACCTACCTAACCGCCCCGTTTCAGCTAACCGTGCACCATCCCCGTCAAGAGATAATGTATCGAGTGCTGAAGGGTCTCGAACCCACGAGCTCTCACCTCTGGGATGGCGAGTTCATACCAAATTATATACGGGACGAATGAATAAAAAATCCCTTTGATTTTTTGTCCTCTCATGCAAATAATCAACATTTTTTAGTTCATCACGGGTTAACTGAAGTATCTGAGGAAAATGTAACAGTAGCTCATTAGAAGGCTAAGCACAGCCCCACTATCACCCAAAAGACTGTATATACAGTACCAGGCTGTATACCAGGCAGTGCACGGTATGCAGCTGCGTCTGCGAACTCACCTTGAGTATGCAGTGTCCGACGGCCTGGTCCTCGGCCACGGACACGTTGTAGAAGCTCTGGTCGAACACCGGCTCGTTGTCGTTGACGTCGACGATGGTGACGCGCACGGCGGCCGTGGCCGAGAGCGGTGGCGAGCCGCCGTCCGTGGCCAGCACCGTGACCCGCGGCTCCGGCTCCGTCTCACAGTCCACATGCGCGCGCGTCGTGATCAGACCGGTCATGGCGTCGATCTCGAACCAGTCGGAGCGAGCGCCGTCGCCCGGCACCAAGGAGTACTTGACGCGCGAGTTGGAGCCCTCGTCGTTGTCGAGCGCGGTGACCTGGAGCACCTCAGTGCCGGGGTCGGCCACCTCCAGCAGGCTGGCGTGGTACTCGCTCTTCTCGAACCGCGGCGCGTTGTCGTTAGTATCGGTTACCAGGAGGTCGAAGGAGCGCGTGGCCACCAGTGGCGGCGTGCCCTGGTCCGTGGCGCGCACAGTCAGGGTGTAGTTGGGCTTCAGCTCGCGGTCCAGCGGCCTGGACACGATCACCAGGTAGATGATGCTGTCGCGAGTCGTCAGCCCGAAGTGGCCGTCGCCGCCCGAGAGGGTGACGTTGACACTGATGTTGTCGTACTCCTCCTTGGTGTCGGGGTCGTTGACGGAGATGCGAGCCACGAACTCGCCCGGCTGAGCGTCCTCGGCAATCCGCGGAGACGCGTCCTCGCTGAGGAAGATGAGGTTGATGGTGGGCAGGTTGTCGTTCACATCTGAGACGCGGATCGACACGAAGGCGGTGGCCTCGAGCGGCTGTGCTCCTCCGTCGCGAGCCACCACGGCCAGCTCGTGCACCTCGTGTGCCTCAAAGTCGAGCGGCCGGTTCACGGAGATGACGCCCGTGTCGGGGTGGATTTTGAAGTAGTTCTGGCGGTCTCGCTGCCTCCGGTTGATGGAGTAGGTGACGCGCCCGTTGGCGGCGCTGTCCGTGTCTGTGGCGAACACCTGCAGCACCGAGCTGCCGATGGTGGCGTTCTCCGGGATGGTGGCGAAGTAGCGCGACTGGTTGAAGATGGGCTGGTTGTCGTTCACGTCCTGGATGGTGATGTTGACCGTCATGGAGCCGCGCAGCGGCGGCGAGCCGCCGTCCAGCGCCTCGATCACCAGGCTGTAGAAGGCCGTCGTCTCGCGGTCCAGGAAGCCGTTGATCTGCAGATCGAGGTAGAGCACGCCGTCGCGCTCGCGGTGCGACGACAGACGGAACGCGTCGTTGATGTTGCCCGAAACGATATCATATCGCTGCGTGTTGAACGCACCGAGATCGAGGTCCCGCGCTGGGAACAGCGTCCGTTTGACATCGCGCGGCGTGTTCTCGGGAAACTCTATCGTCATCGTGTCCACGGGAAACGTGGGCGCGTTATCGTTCGCATCGTTGACGCGGATCACCACGCGAATGTTCTCGCCGCTCTGAGGGATCGCCACTAGAGAGTACGAGCTGCGCACCTCGCGGTCGAGCACGACGCGCGTGCGCACCTGGCCGGTGCCCTCGTCCACACTGAGGTCCGTGTCCACGTGGCTGTCGGGCACGGGCACGATGAGGTAGGGCGGCGGCTCGGGCGGCCGCGGTCCGCACGCAGCCGTCTCGATGAATCCGACGCTGGTGCCGGCCGGCACACCCTCGGACACCTCGAACTCGCAGACGTGTTCGGCGCTGAGCGGGCGCGGCGCGGCGGCCAGCAGGAGGGTTAGCAGCGGCAGCAGCAGCCGCGGCGGCGGCGGCGGCGGCGCCCGACCGGCCGCCATGGTGCAGCGGCGTCTCAGGCCCGGCGGCCGCACATGGCCGACGTGAACCCTGCGGACGGAGGGACCGGTTACAGACACGGCGCAGACAATGGCTAGCCGGTGGGCGTCGAACAACGGGGAACGGGTACGGCAGAGTCGCGCACACGAACTTCACACTTCACCATATAGCTGAATGGAATGTTCGCAGCAGCTATCCTACATTGGTAAACAGTACATATTCCTCAAAATTTACCTTTGTTCACGTAGTTTATTCGAATCAGTGAGCATCCAATAATAACCGCCGACCTGCAGAACCACTTCTTGCGCCGCTCCTACTGGGACCGGCAATCGATTTCCCTTCACTTCAATCCGCACATTGCATGAAATCAGAAATCTCGGCGACCGTCTCCCGAAGCGGCTCCCTGCATGCATAATCGCCAATAGCTGATGGGGACTGTGGCCAGTATGCTGATGTCATGACATTGTCGGTGAATAAAATCGAGTCTGCACGGCAGACAAATACAAGCAAGAACTGATCAATATCCCGGTGGACGTTGCATCGATTGTCCCGGCTGGAAGATCTGGCACGCCGGCTCACGTGCCGCAGCGGCCAGGTCGGAGCTGCTTCTCAGAACGTCAGTTCCTGGCGCATTACGGTAGCTTTATGGATGGGTCTGCTTTTCCCGGTAGTTGAACTGCTGCGATTGGATCCCAGCTTCGATTATGTACCAGAAGTGTGATTTTTTATTAGATACGTTCTTTTATGACGTTTAATGGAACTGCTTGAGCAATAAAATATGGTTTTGCATAGTGGTGGCAATATTTTCTATTGATTTCGAGTCGTTAACTTTTGTTATCACATCTACCGCTCCACCTTCGCTAAACTCAACAGCTTATCGAAGCAATCGTACTTCATTGAGGCACATCTGGCCTAAGGTCAAGAAGCTTGACCCTGCATACCCTTTCTTCATCTTTGCATGCACTCTGTTCAGCTTCATGTTCGCGGAAGTCGAGTCAAGTGCTTCGCAGAATTTGATACAATCTTTGAATGCGACTCATCGCGATAGAGAAAACTCTTCGCGCTAGATGTCAACACTGAACAGCCATACTCCGTTCAGTACCAAAACTGGTCAGACGATATGCCTGACGGAGATTCGCTTCAATACCTTTCTAGACATCATGGGGTGAGAATGATGCGAGCCGGCATGAACTAATCCAAAGCACAGTGGGGGTATAGTGCACCGATTCGTAACGATCCCGAGCATAACTTCGGTCGGGACACTTCCCGGGAGTCTAAGGTACCGACGTTGTCCTACAATGCCAAATCTGCCATGTTCACCGTGTTCGATGCCGTTCCACCAGACTTTTCCACTGCTGCCAGCCTGGGACCTGGCGTGACAGCGCCCTTTGGACGCCGGCTCATCGCGGGCAGCGCTAATGGGCACATTGTAGCCGCTCGGTCGGCCTTCGCTGCTCGCCGTTGGACGACGGCGCGGTCCGAGACAAAAAACGGCCCGGCGCCCCGGACGCCGCCGCCCGACTACAGAGGAGCGGGCTGCCGCGAGACAAGACACCGAGACCAGACTGCGAGACGAGACACCGAGACCAGACGGCGAGACGTGACCGAGAGACAAGACTGCGAGGCAAGACACCGAGACAAGACTGCGAGACGAGACACCGAGATATGACCGGGAGACAAGACAGGAAGAGAAAACTGCGAGACAAGACAGCGAGACGCAATTGCGAGACGAGACCGCGGCACGAGACGGCTACGGTCAGAGAGGTATCGGCTAGGGAGTAGGGAGACAGGCGGGGGATGTGAGACAGGACTAGAGGTACAGACTGCGATGGCAGAAAGTACAGAATGGGGCTGAGAAATGAAACTAGGAATGCGGACATTGACCGCAGACGAGGTTTGCGAGACGAGCTAGCATTCTTCATCGCCCTTTTCCAAGCGAGTTTGAAGTAATTCATCTGGCACAGACACCATTAAAAGTCTGTCGTCTTCGGTACGTTCGCCATCATCAACCACCGCTAACGATGGGCAGTGTCGAAAACGTACCAAGACGAATGGTCGCTTCAGCGCCTCGCTTTCAGATCGGTTTCACCCTTGTATTAGCTCTTATGATGACTCGGGACGTCCCTGGAGCTGCGGAAGGATTGTGTAACGCCATGATCTAGATGAGTGGTCTCTGAGTCTGTAGAACGGATAGTCTCGTGTCGTGGTCCGAGCGAGGCACCAGAAGGGAGAGGAAGGAGGAAAGGGCCTTCCCGTCCCTCCCGGCTCGCATCGCTGGCTCTCTATGGATGCCGAGGAGCGGAAATTTGAGACAAAGCGGCCACTCGACCGTGCCATTCCTGCGCGCATTCACCGGTGCTCATCCTATCGGAAGGAGTGATGGAAGGGTCGTGTATGGGAAGGAGGACGTTTCCCGTGAGTATCTCGGCTGCTGGACGGATGAAGCCTCGACCTCTGTGGTGGTCATATGTGCTAGCACTTATACGGGTGATGTTCATGAAGAGGCTAGTGCGAGCATTTCTTCTATGATGATTCAAAATGGTCGTGGAAGATTCCACTGACCACTTCCCTATCCCCTCAGATAAGGATCTTGAGTTTTCGATTGGGCAATGGTTACCTTATTGAATCCGACAGCCTCCTCAGCCAGTTCCGTGAGCACCTCGCACAGTCACCACCGTACTGCGTTCGGCACGCACCCACACACGCACACACACACTCACACACGGTATCGCAATGGGCGGCGCGCTGGCCCGGCTCGACCGCCGTCCCGCCCCCCACGCGTGGTCCGGCAGCACTGCAGTGACCCCGGCCGGCCGGGCCGCCGCTAGTTCGGTACCTGTCCGCGTGGCGGCGCCACCGGCCGGCGCCGGGAGGTGGCCGCGGGCGTCGGACACCAGTCAGCAGCTCCGCGCCGCCTGAATGCCGGCCGGCCGCCGCGCTGCTGCACAGAGAATCGCCCCGCATGGCATCGTTCGCACTAACAAGCCTCCCCGATGTGCTATCGCTGCAGAATGCAGCCAACTAAAAATGCTCATAGCACCTCGAGCTTGTCAAGCCGAAAGAAGAGCCAGGCAGGTAGAAGATGGAGAATAGTGCCGGATGAAAAGGATGAATACATCAATGTAATGGCTGTTCGGAATCATCCCGCTGCAGGTTTGGGTGCAACGACCTCAGAAATGCGCGTAATCAAGGCTGGTTATTCGGGCATGCAGAATGCATCTTAGCAGCGGACGGACTGGGAGAGAAAAATAAAACCGGCTGCATGGCTGCTAAATAGATCGGGCTATTAATGCGGAATACAAATAGGAGTGAAATGGATCTGTATTTTTAAGGGGAAGCTGCCCGTCGTTCCGATAACTTGCTGCCAGTAGATGTCAATGTGAATGTCAATTGTCAGGTATAAGCTTCGTTTGCCGTTGATTGAACATTTGCTGAATTCCAACCATTTAAAATATGCTGGTTTGAGCAACATACAGAGTTGCGGAGTCGGAGTTTGCCGGAGTCAACAGTTCTGACCGGAGTCGGAGTCGGAGTCGATTTTGGAAACCAGAGCCGGAGTCGGAGTCGCCCGGAAAATCCATCGACTCCGCAGACTTGGAAGGGCTGTGGAGTCTGAGTTGGAGTCGGAGTCGGAGTCATCGAATATGTATTGACTCTGCAGCCCTGGCAACATAACAAATGAAATTCGCTCCTTTTTTAAATAAATTGTTCAACATGCACTGGTGTCGGACATACATATTTTTCTTTCTTCTGGTAGTCTTTGTCGATCCAGCCCTGCAGTGGAGACCCAAGAGATGACAGGATTATGTAAGGGGAAACATTGGGCTTGGGCATAGATCTTTGTTTACCGAGGTCAGTATGGCTGGGTTGGTCACGATAGAAAGTGCGCCTTGCGTCTCAACTCGTCCCGGAACACCTAAATGTTTTACTAAGCGTGTTGCATGGAACTTTCACCGCTACGTTTGGCGTTGTGGCTGCAGGTAATGGGGCTGTACTGTCCTGTCAAACGCGGTCTGCTGTCTCTATCTCCTGCTATTCCTCGTCTCTCTTATTTGCGATTCCCCACATACAGGGTTGGGCAGATAAATTGGGACAAAATACATATTTGCATTCAGAACGCCGTAGCTTAGAGATTTGTAAACGTAGGCATTTCAAATTTGGATCACATATTGTCACACCAATTTCACACATTTATCACCAAATATGGTCACCGTGGTCCACCTGCATCAGTCCTTATCGGTGCCTGGACTGGCCGCTTGCGCGGCGAGATCTTCCGTCTGAAATGGCTCGTAATTGTAGCCAACTGGCACTGCTGAGGCTCGCCACAGTCACATGGGGACGTTCGTTAGACTCACCCGCAAAAACGCCCCAGCAACCAGAACTTGTGTGGGCTGAGGTTTAATGAGGAAGGGGGCATTTTCCCTTGGGTACAAATTGCGGGATCCTCCGTTTCAGGAGATTTTGTATTTAATTTACTGTATGCCGGGGAGCTGACTCCTCGAAGAGCATCACTCCATGCAGGATGTTGCCTTCTTCCATCTTGTTGATTCGAACTGCCGGAATAATGGTTAGGTACGCTGTAATGGCGAACCCCCTCCCGATTCCGTAAAATAAGGGGGCCCCACGTGGCCGTCAGAAGTCACCGAGTGGAATGCCATCACCGAGCTCTGCTGCATGCTTTTTGGAACTAAGATCACGTCTTCTGGGCTGGTTGCGATGTTTCATGGTGTTTGCGGTTGTTCATATGTTCGGTTATGGGGATACCATCGTCGAAAAAGACCTGCACGTGCTTGCTCGCTTCTCCAAGCCCTTCAAGAGGAAACGATCTTTTTAACGTCACAGCTGCTTCAACAACTATGATAACAGGTTGATATGCATCAATGCATAAGAGTACATGTTTGAGGTGCTGGTATATCGCTTTCTCATGGCGCGGCTACCTTCGTTGTAAGCTCGCGCCACTGTTTTCGCGAGGATCCTCTGATTTAACTGAATTTTGCCTTTTAGCCCCCCTGGAAAACCGGGGGAGCGGCCGGTGTCAATGCAATAAGTATGTAAGGATGATTCAACATCTTCTCTTCCTCCAACGTTTACGTCTGTTCGATACACACTACTTTCAGCCATTTGATGGAGCATAATTAGAGTATTGGCATGCATGTGCGCGCGGATTAAGTTGATAGTGACTTGCTTAAGCCCACGTTCTGTGACCAGCCGACTCAAAATTACAACGCAACCTGCATAGCATGGAAAAGTATTCATTAGCCTATATTCATGTTCAAAAATTATCTTAATCACTCAAAAAATAGTCGTTTTAGAGGAAGTTGAAATTTGTCCCAATTTATCTGCCCACCCCTGTAGGTACAGCCCACCGCTAAAGTAATGTAGGGTTTTACCAATCTCAACGGTTGGCTTTGACTGGCGATTGTTTAATGCGGAGTGATCGAAAAGAAGATGTCAATAGCTAAAGTTGCAGCTGCAAGGGTGACGATACATATAAGCTACATTCAAAGTTTCATTGTAGTCTGGCTAATCGTTCCTAAGCTTCAGAAGCAGAACATACCCATGACTGAAACCACACATTACTTCTGCTGTGGACTGTACTTCTAATTCTAGTGTTAAGTTAAACCTTCTGGGCTTATTTAGACCATTACAGCCTGAAGCTAAAGGGGGGGGGGGAGGAGGTCATTAGTTTGATTTGGTCACTGACTGGTGCACCGTAGTGGATTTGGACGCAGGCGTTTCTTTTTTTTTGCCATAGAGGTCAGAGGAGAGGCGGTCCATCCGCTCCAAGCGGTCACCGCCGATCATGACATTCTCTCATTGAGACTGTTTCCTGCAGCCTGAGAAGGCTGAACGTCAGCCGGGATAAGTGAGTGCGCTTTGAGGACGGGAATACCCTTGTCCTGAAAAGGACGACTGTGCTTGTCTTGATGCTTGGTAAGTGGTAACTATAGTCTAACTGATGCCTGAAGAGAGGTATCAGGTAAGGGACTTCTCTGAGAGATTGGACAACTCGGTGGCCTGCGCGCCACCTGGTGACCGCCGCCCGTAGCTTAGCTTACCGACCAATATTAAACGGTCACAGATAGCAGCACTCCAACCGGAACGTCTACGAGTGTTAAAACGCTACCTTTTATAGGCGAAGTAAACATTTTATACTGAATATAATGTTTTTCTATAAGTAAGGAAAAACATTGAACCCATCGCTGACACCTGCCTTTTCACAACCGATGTCCCGGGGGCGAGGTTTGCAGTCCACATGTTGGCAATCCAGCTTTAACTTTTAAACGGCAAACACAATTTACTGCCTACTCTTCTCTCCCCTCCATCCGTCCTTTATCTATCTCCAGGACCATTGTAAGTTAATCCTTGATCATACCTACCTTCCTGCTCCAGGCTGACGCTCATCCGACCTAGACAACCAGCGGGACACTGCAGAGTGACGGTTAGAGTGGCTAGTTAATTTGTTTTACCGGGGCACCGGTAAAATTCGGTGATCGAATCAGCCCATGTTTAGTTTGCTTGTTTATGTTCGGCTAGGACCTTACATACTTTTCGGCCTAGACTATTTTAAAGGAGTCGTAGAAAGAAAAGGACCTCTTCCAGCACCAGGTACAGGTACCTGCTGGAGGCATAGAATATTAGTTTTTCTTCTTATTTGCTGTTGAAATAGGACGGCATTTGCTAGTTTTCAGAACATTTTTAGTTAGATTCTCAGCATTCAGTTAGATAGGTACTGAACTAAGAAGTGTATAACTAGTAAGCACAATCACAAGCGCATATGTAGGTATTCTGTTGAACATGTAGGGGTACCGTAACCGTATTTCGGTTCATCTGGACTATGTATACCGTCCCGGCTGGTGACAGGCATGAATCGAGGTGTAGAGGTCGCTTCTCGTGGGCTCCACAAAAGCGGTTTTCACCGTATACCTCCTCACTGAACTTGACGCTCTGCTCTTTAGATATTAATCGCATTAGTTAGGTTAGCTAATGGACATTCCTGACACCAAAAGTAGTACTGCATTGCTTGGCGGTGCCATGTCTGGCTTTTGGTTCCCCGATTCCTCGAGTTACTTGAATAGATGTTTTTATGTATGCTTGTGCTAACAAAGCACAAGCATATATAAAAATGTCATTTACTCGCTTTTCTTTTTTTATATTTTTAATTGCGTGCTGCAGTATTGTGTGCCAGCTTTATAACCATACCCAACTTCAGCGTACCTACTATGGACGTCAAACCCCTTGAGACCCCACTTTTTTGCGATAATTTTTAAATGCGTCAACTCTCGTTGACAATATTCTGGCAATGTGTGTTTCAGAACCTGCCGAAACTTTTATTACTAAGGTATTTTGACGCCAAACGATTATGAAAGGTATTTCTCATTCACTCGTAATGTTAAATTTCACGGAACAAATCTGCTGTTTGGGTAGAGGCTACGCGCTCATGGGGCGGAGCCACATAATGACGTCAGCGCTAAGCTCCGCCCTACCCCTCTGGCGCTCCTTGCCCGGCGACCGGTCACTCGCGTCTCTCGCTCCATTCAGGCTTGATGGTGGGCGGTAGCTGGTAGCGGCAGCGGGCGCTGGTAGATGGCATTTAGAGCAGATGGCGCTGGTGGCGGGGCTCGAGTGTGGCCGAGCGCAAGCCTCTGCCCGGGCCTGAATTGACCTTAGCATTACGAGTGAATGAGAAGTACCTTCCATAATCGTTTGGCGTCAAAATACCTTTGTAATAAAAGTTTCGGCAGGTTCTGAAACATACATTGCCAGAATATTGTCAACGAAAGTTGACGCATTTAAAAATTATCGCAAAAAAGTGGGGTCTCAAGGGGTTTGACGTTCATAGTAGTATTGCACTCCATGACTGGCGCGATTAAAGGAGACTTCATCTGGATGCAGTGTGATCAAAGTGCCATCTGAGATAGCTGTTACGTCATGCCCTCGCTGCACCCTAGCAGTACACAGTACGAACCAGATGTGATTGTCACGCTGTGGTGGTCGGGATTAGTAAAGCCCCTTATCGTTCGTGACCTACTTTGGACGACTTTTCACCATCCTCTCCCGTTCACCCTTCACAGCCAAAGGCGCCTCCTTGTTGTGAGAATGTATTTGAGAAGATGATTGTCATCGACCCTTTAGAGCCGAGCTCTGTGGGCCGCCGTCACATCAACAGTGTCGTCGACAGCGGCGTCGGCGTGGGTCACGTCGGACACGACGTTCTCGGCTGGGTCACTCCATCGGACCCAAGGCGGTGGCCGTCCAGTGCCCGGCACCAGGCCCGCGCGGATACTCTGCTACGTTGTGCCGCGCCGCGACTATTCACACACTCCTACTGCGCCGGCCAGGGGCCTGCGGCGAACGGAGCTCCGATCAATTTGGAATTTGTCTCGCGGTACACGGCGGCGCTGCGTTTGTACGAGCGGCGGCGCTACGCCGGATATAAAGACTTCAAGCGCTGAACAGTATCACAGGACATCGCGACACGGCAATGCGACGCTGTTCTGAGCTCGCCGGCGGCTCGCGAGCGCGGCCGGCCGGCGGAAGGCGTGCTGGTCAGACAGCGTAATACGTGTGTACTATCGGAACGGTGCGCCGTGGGGCTGGCTCTCCCTCTCTCCCTCTGCACGCGCCACATTCACCCGCCTGACACCCGCCCGGGCTCGGCCCCGGGGCGGCGGCTCGTCTGAGAACACTGCCGGTCATCGGCCGGATCGCGCAGCCACTCAGTCACTCCCTCACTCAGTCCTCAGGCACCGGTGCGCGGCGTCAGTCCGCGCCCGGACACAGCCCGGCTGTCGCTCTCTCTCTCTCTCTCTGACACCCCTCAGTCACTCGCGCGCTCAGTTCTGCCGCCGCAGCTGGTCCAGGCTCTGGACGAAGTTGTGCAGCATCAGGTGCCACAGGCCCGGGTTGTCCAGGTAGGCGGCGTGGCTGCCGTTCGGGATGACGCCCACGGTGGCCGTCTTGATCTGACTGAGCGCCTTCAGAGACGACTCGCCCAGGCCGCGGTCCCGCGAGCCGTAGATGATGGCCGTCGGCACCTGGGGACGGGAAGGGTAACGAGTTACAACACGGCACCATGTTTCAGAGCTCGAGGCGGTGAAGGGTTCAAAAGTTTGCGTTGCTTGCTGGTTGCAAGAGCAAAAGTGAACAATAAACTGACACGGTACAAATTTCTGGGATCACTGTGTCAGACTTTTCGGTGTACATGAGATGACCATTTTTACGATATTTCATTAATATTTTGTGCTAGTTTGCTTTTCCTTCATATGGTAATATTTGTAACACGAAACATGGTTGCAATTTAGTTGTTGAGCAGGGAAAGGATATTTTCGAATGCCCAGATGATTGGATTATATTTTGTCAGAAATACTTACGCTTTAGGAACAAGTTATTCGCAATATAATAGGTAAAGGCACAGAATCACCATATGTATGTTTATATATGAAATATGCATTGTTGACTTGTATAAAAGGAAAAAAAATCCACATAAACCCTTCACATCATCACACCTGGATCGACATTATTTAAGACATATGAAAGGCTTAAGGCTGGTGACGGGATATCGCCTGAAGGTCATTCACTGTCGCTGAGTCAGAGGGATAACGAGTGTGGGATTCTGGCACCTCATTCCACGGGCACTTACGGTGTCATCCACCACAGCCAAAGAGTAAAGTAGCTTACAGCTCATGGCCAGCGAATGCACTATGTGGAACGCAATGACACTCTGTGCGGCTACTAGCCGAAGCGTTTGGAAGATTCGCGAGATTAGGGACCCTTGCCAAGGCTGCCAGGGTGTGAGGCCTGGCCCATCTGTTGCGAACTACTTTGTCAGATAATTTTAGTGAAGCGATGATGTAGCGCGGGGGACTGAACAGGGGTGCGGTGGAGTGGGGGTGGTGTTGTTTTCCGGGGGGAGGACTTTCTTGGAGCTCTGTTAGTAGTGGGGAGTTCGGTGCCAATGTGAAGCGCTGGAATTGTGCTGTTGGAGACTGGAAGTGTGTACGTAAGTAAAGTTGATTTCTAGAAGCCCACCCGGCATACAAATGCATCTGATGGGAGATGCTTTCATTTTGAGGCTTGATCATCATCGCATTGTATAGACGTCGACTCGGTAACTTCACTGCTCGGGCAGGAAGGACAGGCTCCAACCCGTGGGTAATCGACACAGTGAGAAAAGGGCTGGATAAGGCAGTTGGGGTCGTAATGATCACTGCCAAGCCATTTGTTGGCGTTTAACTTGATTTACTGGATGGTCATTAGTCCAGTCACCAATTCATCATCACTGGTCTACTCTACCCTTTTCAAATTTGCCCACTTATATCGTATTAGCGTAGCTGAATTTAAGTGCCCTCGAGAATCATTGGCGTGACTGTCCTAACCGAGCTGCACTTCACTCCTATCGGCCTTAATCTAAGATTCATTCTTTTATCATACGCACTCACATTCTCACACACAAGCGCTCTTCATTTATTCACCAAAATTTATTTAGTGCCCCTCGAAATCCCTCCGATAGTGTTAGGTGTCTGGCAACAATAACCTCCCCGGCGAGATAAATGTCTCTCTTATGAATCCATGTGTGCTCCCGCTAACCGGTGGCCAGGCCACAGGGCTGTCCAGTATTGCATGCAGGTAATTCTTCACCTTTATAATTTAGTCGGATCCACAACACGTCCAATAGACTTATGATGCGAATTCGCGAATTACACCCGGCTGGTTTCCCTTTTGAGAGAGCGCTAGGCCTCGCGCTCCCTCCGGTCCACGTCCTGGAACTTACCGTTCACGTCCTGGGACCATAGTTCACGTATCCACGTCCTGGAACTATCTGCCTGGAACTCATCTGGTTCCGTGGGTCTTACGTTACCAGGACTCACGAACTCCGAGGGGGAACTCTCCCGGTCCCCCAGAGGCTGTCCATCACCGGATGTGGCCGGAAACTCCTGGCTCATACCGATGATCAAGATGCAGGTAAGTATGATGACTTCCTGGGACGTACGGCTTCCTGCACCACCTGTGGATGACTTACCAGTGACCCAGCACTCCACCATTCCTGATGGATCCTTGACTTCCGCTGGGATCCGCCGTTTCATGCCTCTGAGCCTGCCTACCTTTGCCCACTAAATAATCCTGCGGGAAACCAACAACAACCGCGGTATCACCACGGTGGGTAACGTGAATAGCTCTGCTAAAGACGATGTGCTCCTTACCTTACATTACCGGTCTGGACGAATTTCTCAGGAAGTTCTGTGTCTAAGTCATGCTAGTCAACATTCCGACATAAGAGCCGGGCAAACAAACCCTCTCCTCATTTAGACTCCGGCTTATTGATCTAAGATAGTCAGCTTGCAATATACCTTGTAGCCACTCGAATGTGACAGATAGAAAGATCAAATGTGTCATCTTGAGCCATTAAATTTTCGTCATTCTGTGTCGGGTGAAATACTTGCTACCAGCAACCACATAACCACGAGTATTCAGGTTCGCTAAAAATATAAGCCCCAACAATTTCACTGATATTGTTTACCTGGTCTGAAATATTCTGCGTCAATAAATCTCCCATAAATTACGACCGAGAGCCGATGGACCGTCCTGTCCGCCGCCAGCTCTGTCCCGCGACTAGTGATGCAAACAGTACGCCCGGACTGCCCATGATAAACGTCATTTAATGGCTATGCTCGATAATACCACGACATTACGACGACCTAGTGACATTATGATGACCCAACATCTTTGAACAAATTACCACGTTCGTTTCCACAATTGCACGCCACGAGTAATTGAATTCCTTAACAGCTGAATTCTGACCTGAATTTGCAGCCCAGCTCATAAACCTGGGCGGCCCACCGCCGCGCCGCTTCACCCGTCGGAATTAACAGCTGGACCAAGGTCGTCGATCAGACACCGTGTGCTTCTTCTATATGTGCTCTTCTTATTCGGTGTGTGTGTGTATCTAATGTAAACCTCTATACTGTAGTGCGAACTCCACGAAACACCAGAGTGGAAAGCGTTGATGACGTCTCGACGGATGATCTTATTGACCTTGTGGCCAATCACCCGTTTCCAAATTTGTAAGAGCTCGATCCTCCCCACTATGCCCACAACAGAACGTTTCAAAGCTTTAGTGTGTATTCTAAATTAAACACGTTGAATTTAAATACAGTCTAATTCATGTTCCAAGTCAAGAAGCTAATTCAACAGAATACCAATAATATATGACTTACGCCTAACCGGTTAATTTGTTAACTTTCTCTTTGACAGACCTTCGTACAGAAACTAACAGCTACATTATTAACCCGCTATGTGGCGTAGCAATGCCAGCTCACATCAATGTAAAAGAGACTGAAACCACGCCCTGAACTCCTCTCACGAACCCAACTGAACGTCACTGTTGAACATAGACACACTGAGAATCCCATTGTAATCCTAGTCTGCAAATGGTAAGCTGGAGATCCTAACAATGACATATACGCACTCGTGAATTTTTAGCTAAACCTCGATCACCTATAACGCAGCTTATCCGGTAGTAAGACCCCAAGAACAAAACCGCAATACAGCTTTGCACCAATAATTTCTGACGATCGCGGAGAGTGGAGACCACAACTAGAATTGTCTGGACCGACCGTATAAATCAAAGCAATTTGCTATTAGCTTGGCAACGACCATTGGACAGATCGGGCAAGGCGTGAACCAGGGGGGGGGGGAGATAGGATCAGGGAGAGCAGACTTTCTAACATTCAGATTGAACACTCACATTAGGAGCTGGAGTGTGACGTCAACCTCGGCAGTTGCACTTGCGTCCTTTCTCGTCGACGGCTGCTGTCCTGCGTCTCCATCACTCGAGGCACTAGCAGAGAACTGGAACAGGACGATTGCAGCGATGCGGCTGAACGGGCCCGTCTCCCGGCGGCATGGCTTCTCGGGCGCGGTGATCCCGACGCGACTGCGGCGGTCCCACTGACTCGGTCCTCCCGTCCCGGTCTCACTCTCCGGTCTGACTGCTCCGGTCTAACTGATCCCGAAGTAAAGCGGTCCCTTTTTTATAGTTGGGTCGGGGTGGCGTCGCCCTCTCCTGACCTGGTTCCGGGTGCCGGCTCCGATTCAGGTGCACTTCTTTGTCTTCTTACTGCGGTGGCTTGAGGGCGTGCTCGGTTTTGCATTTGCAACGGCCTCTCCAAAATACGGTTGCACTGAATGTGAAAGCATTTGAATAGGCATTAGATGGCACAATTCTTCGGTTCCAGTCTTCATCGGCGAACGATGACCGTTATTGTTGATCTGCGCTTGTTTCTGATAAAGCGGCTTGAAATCGAAATGCTTGTTTATAGTAGGCAGCCCGCAACCATTTATCCTTTGTAATGTTGTCTCTAGTTTCCGTTACACTTGCTCACTCACTCGTAGTCTAGGTGCTGTACCTCTTGTTCAGATGCTCCTCCGCCCCAAGGACTTGCTTTCCGAGCTCATGAGCTGCTAGCGCAATGACTTCCCCTGGATATCATTTAGACAGTCTATATTCCAAAAACGTCCTTGCTGCACTGGTCGTTGCTGGAATGCTATATGGTGGGGTCAGGCGATAAAACTATTGCGACTTTCGGATTGCTTGGTGCTCAAGTTGATCTGAATTGCAGGTTTGTACAACGTCCAGTATTGAGTCGATTTTTTTTATGCATAACTGCATTCTTGCATGGCTTTATCATATTCCATTCCGGTTGGTGCTGCCCTCAAGTGACGACGTCCGTAACGAACGGTGACCCGCTAGGTCACCGCGTCTCTTTTTTCCGCGTTACCTCGCTCTGTGCTGCTGTCCTTTCTAAATTATGGGCGGCCGGTGTCGATAGGGACGTTGGACACGGGAAAACAAAGGAAAGGGTCTCTTCGGAACGCGGCCAGCGTGTCCGGATCGGGCAGTATTCGGTCGTGCCAGGATTTAAAGTTTACAGCTAATAGTAAACTAATAGAAAAGATGTAGCCCGCTACATCTTCAGTCCAAAACAACCCTAGTTGCGTCCCCGCAACTCGGAACGGTGAACAATGAACATCTCGATGGTTCCGCCACTCCATCCTAGACTCTACCTAAATTTCTT